ACTGAAAACATTTATTGTGAATGACTGATTCACAACGGCAGTCTAAAAGGATATAAAGTCCTAAGGTTTTTTTATGTATCAAGAGTGGATAATAAATATTTGACTATTGTTTGTCTTCTCAGTAGTCAGGGGGTGGTGGTTGATCACGAGTTACTGTGCTAGTGGAGATATTAAAAGTTCATCTAAAGAGCGTTGTATTGAGTTCACTCATTGAATTCATTCATAAGTTTAGATTTACTTACATAGATTCAAATTACATCATTATGTAATCCATATTAATTAGTGTAAAGCATTTAATTCACTTCTGTATAAGTAAAATTTGTTCATTTGTTGTTAATAATACTATCACAAAATAAAATGCAAATTAATGAAATAATTTAATTACGATGTCTATTGAAGTTTCATTTTTCGACTAACTACATTTCTGAAAAAAGTATTAATTCAGTTACCAGGCACAGATTCATGTACTTGACTGATCCATATTTTGAATGTGAGGGCTAGTAATACTACCCAGTGACCCAAACTGAAATGGGCCAAACGAGCTTCCGACCTGAAACTTAGTGATTGTAAACTAAGATCCGAAACCATTGAGCTACCGTTCCGATGAATAAAGTCAACAATATTTACGACGTAAATTACATAAAGTTTGGTTATTAAAAAGGTGATTTTATGAGAGCAAAAGTCTTGAGTTACCGCTTAGGGTTTTGATACATTTCAGAGCAACAACTTAAACTATTGGGATTATTTCTTGACAAATTTAAAGTGATCTTACATGAGATACAATATGTTACACATGACTCTGAAATCGAACTGAAATATTTAAATACTCATTTATTCACAATGAATATGTTATGCAACATAGAAATAAAATTGTTTTAATCAAATCGGATAGTGGCTGACAGTGCAATACTGTTCGTGCATTGTTTATTATTTTGGGCTTGCTAGCTTGATATATCCTAAACTTAATATTAATATTTACATTGGAACTCGAATTAAGTACCTAGGGTGCAGGTACATTAAGCTGATGAGTTTTGAACGGATCAAAAGTTGTGTTTTAAATTCCATCTTTAATAAAATATTCGGAAATATTTGACATTACTGAGGTGACTCTCACAGGGAGCACATATACCGATAAAGAATGAACAGTCGTATTCATTATATCAACTGAAAAATATAAACATGTACAAGTGAAATTTGATCATATTAAGACCTCTAACCAATCTAAGTAAGACAACCATTGCGAACATGAGAGAAATGGATGGCTTTTTAGTCCTAGCATGAGGATATTCAGCAATTCGGATATATGATAGCTGAAACGGGATTCAAACACAGGGCTTTCGGCTTAGCGCGAACCCCTATCTTCCGTATCGCTAAGTAGACATCCAGTAATATACAAGCTTAACTTCGACCGCTCCGAGATATTAAGTGATTATCTTCCATTTTTTTAATCGGCATCTTCCTCAAACCCGACACGGTTGAACTCCACTGGTCACAGCTTCTTAATAAAGTTCTGAGAATTTCCTCTCATACCTATGCACTAGTGATGGCACGAGAAGTCACATACTTAGGCGAAACAGTAGTCCATTGCTTCCAGTTTTCCAATGATCATCTAATTTAGAACAGTTCTTGATCTTAATCAAATTCAACTGTCTCCATGACTTCATACTAACCTATGAAGAAGTTGAAGGCACTATAGTGTTGAAGAACGACTATTCAGCAGTGGATAAATGTTTGAGAACAACACATATAGGCGAACAATACTATTTTCAGTAAGATTATGGACCAGCAGTATTAGGAATCAGTCAGTTACCTACCGATGGTAGTGGATTTTTGTCAAGCTACATCACGCAGTGTTCATCATTGAATCCCAATATGAAGTAATAGCTAATCACTCACACAGAAATATAAAGATCATGGGTTCTACGCACTCTGAAGCCATTAAGGGATCACCTACTAGGACGAAATAATTGTCCTTTGTTCCATATTTTTTAATGAGGTGAATTTGTAATAAATATCACCTGTAAATATGCGATAGCATTGTGTTCTTTTTTACACCGGATGGCATTTTTTTGTTGATAAATGAATAAATTTACTAAGATGTCTTGTTAAAACTCCATGTATTTTTAAAGTATTTTTAATCTGGAATTAATATCAACAGTGCACAAACCCAGTAAGGATTACCTAAGGGGTATTTAATTAAATGTTTTGATGATAGGTCATAGACCGCCTATAAAGTTGGAGTGAAGTCATTGACTTATTATCCAACCAGTCCATATGTGAAAGATGAGTCGTTTATACGTGTTAGGTGAAATTCCTTTACTGATAATATACCGATTATAGTAGCGATAATAATTTTTTTGGTTAAAGGAGTTCTGTGGAGATTGGCCTGTCTTGTAGCTTATATTTGTCAGAAGTTGGCTTCAGGTGACGTACCTGTTATGATGGGGGACGACCAAAATCGAATGCTGATACATGACGGGCTATGCGCTACCCCCCCCAGCTGACTACTTGAGTGTGAGAGTGTATTGTAATACCGAATAAAATCTCTCTCTCTCTCTCTCTCTCTCTCTCTATATATATATATATATATATATATATATATATATATATATATATAACTCTACCCCTTTGAAAAACAATCCAATTCTTAGGCAATGATATGCAGCTGTTCTTCACGTTACTTCTGATTGCCATTGACTGATCTCATTTGGTTCACCAGATCAGTACTATTTAAAACCAGTGAGGAGTTGTTTTGTCCTAGTTTGTGGCTTCTTATCAATGCACTTGCATGATAACCTCCGGAAAGTCTTATACTATAACGAGACAGATATTTAAGGATTTCTGGCCTTCAGATTTACTCTCAACATGTGATTAATATAAGCTATAGACAGTAGTCAGCGCCTCACACAATGAGATAAATGTTCCATAATAAACCAACTAATGACTGCTTATAATCAGTAAATGTGAAATACTGCATGCTCTGTATATCATAATTAGAAAAGGATTATATTTAAATATATTTTTAAACAAATATGAGTATGGTTACCTTTTCACTCAAAGCAAAAAGTGTAACTAACTTGAAGATAATTATTATTGTAAATTGATGACATCTAGGAGAACTGTATACACAGATCGTCCAATGAGTAGAAACCAATCTAGTATTTGTCCAGAACCCTTGTTGCTGATCGTGTTTCATTGACCAAGTTACATCGCGATTACTAGTATTAAGAACTCAGTATTTTAATGGATATTGAGTGAATGGATGAGATCAATATGAATCTTTGAAACGAGGTTTTGCAACAGCTGACACTTTTCAATGAGATGTATCTGTAAATCTTGATATAACTGATACTCTCATCAGTCATTAATATTAGTCAACAACGTAATAATTAAGCTTTCTACGTCAATCATGTCTATAGGACAGATGTATTTGAACGATTTAATTATTGAATAGTCATTACTATTATGTCGATTTCTCAGTATTCATAGGATTGTATCGATCAAGTTGTAATATATCTCCATCAAGTGTGCTATACTTCTTTTCAGTTCTAAACACTAGTAACTATTGTTTAAACTAGAATGTGAAAGACAAGTAGTCGACTTCTTTCTGGTTTTTAATTATTCTTCAGCGATTGTCATTTTGGAGAAATCATTGTTGAAAAAAGTGAACAATTGACACTTTGATATTCAACATTTTTTCTTCAAAACACATCGCTAAATCTTTAGAAGCTATATATGGGAAAATACTTGAATTACTATTGTGTCCTATACTTGATTACAGTAAAATACAATATACGATTAGTGGCATTCGAACGTCTAGGACCCCATAATCGTAAATCAGAAGACAAAAGAAGTATGTGAAGTGATTATTGTGTAAGAATGAAAAAGATGTACAGAAAAACATAGGTATTTATAGTTAGTTGAGTTGATTATAATTCAGCCAATCCGCAGTGAGGCAAGTTATACTATTGCCTAATCGTAGCGTGCCACGTTGATATTGTAGAAAGTTTTATCGGGCTTTGACTAGATATAGTCTCTCAGGCTCCTTTAAAGCCTCAACAGACTTTGTTTTGATTCTCAAAGCCATCCTAACAATTCCTGAAACAAAATAGATTTTTATTTTTAGTTAACTATCTTAATCTATCAATCAAATCACACTTGACGGAGAAGGTTTGGAAGATGTAAAAACCTTTACATATTTGGGTAGCATCGTTGATGAACACGGTAGATCTGATGCGGATGTGAAGGCACGGATCGGTAAAGCAAGAATATCATATTCACAACCGAAGAACATCTGGAACTCAAAACAACTTTCAACCAATACCAAATTCAGAACTTTCAATACAAATGTCAAGACAGTTCTACTGTATGGAGCGGAAACCTGGAGAACTACGAAAAACACCATCCAGAAGATACAAGTGTTTATTAACAGCTGTCTACACAAAATACTTCGAATCTGTTTGCCAGACACTATCAGCAACAACCTATTGTGGGAGAGAACAGACCAGATCCCAACGTCAGAAGAAATCAGGAAGAAGCGATGGAAGTGGATAGGACACACATTGAAGAAAGCACCCAACTGCATCACAAGGCAAGTCCTCACATAGAATCCTGAAGGCCAGAGGAGAAGAGGAAGACCAAAGAACACATTACGTCGAGAAATGGAGACACACATGAGAAGAATGAACAGCGATGGGATACAACTGGAAAGGAAGGCCCAAAACAGAATGACTTGAAGAATTTCGGTTGGCAACCTATGCTCGATTAGGGTTAACAGGCGTAAGTATGTAATTAAGTAAATAATCTTAATCGATCTTAATGTATATCTGCACAAGAATAAACTCATGATAAACTAAATACCATATATATAATATTAAATTTATCCTTTATAAATACATTTAGTAAATTAATCATTCAACCAATCCAACCAATTCATCGGCCAATCACCAATCAACATTTGAGTACAAAGTAACAACAGTAACAACAAAAAAGGAAATAGAATATATATATAAAGAAGAATTAGAAATAATACCGATTGGTGTAATCATTTGATATTTCTTTTAATTAAATTACGTCCTTTTTTTAAAGAAAAGAAAATTTTTAAAAAAAAAAGAAAAAAAGAAAAGAAAAAAGAAAAAAAGAGAAGTTTCTCTCCATACTGAGCTATTCAACTAAATTATATTTTCATTTATGTTACTCTGTGTATAACAATGATCATAATGATATTGATTAAGAAATTATTCCTATTTCAAAATGGATCATTTTTAATGGATGGTAACTCATTTCTATCATACTACTTATAATGATGTTATCATTCTAATATCTATGTAATATATATTAAGGAGATATGTTCTTATATCATTATAAATTCTTGTTTAGTATATTATATATTCTATTATATAATTATGGATTGATTTATATTACATCAGTAAATAATCCTATTGTAATAACATTTGTTATTGAAGAGAATCTCCCAATCGGTTCTGAAGTTGGACGAATCAACTTGGAACCAGATCATCATCATAATAATAATAATAAGACAAATGATTACATAACATTTACATTACAAGATACAACATATTTTAATTTTGATAAAATTATATTGAATAAATTAATTGTATGTAAATTATTAGATAGAGATATTGATAGAAAATTATGTAGTGAAAGTGGTTGGCCAGAAATATGTGCATGGTCTAGTGTTATCTTTGTTAATGATGGTAGATTATTAAGTTTACGTATTGTGATACGTGATATTAATGATAATATACCGAAATGGTTAACTAAAAATAATATTGATCAACCATTATTAGAAATATGGATTATAGAAAATTCATTAATTGGTACTATTATTGATTTACCATTAGCATATGATCCAGATATTGGTGAAAATTCTATTATAAAATATGAATTAGCTAATTCAGATCACCATCATGATCATCATAATAATAATACATTATCATTATTTCAAATTGTGAATTCACCTAGTCCAAATGGACCAATATTTCAAATGATTATCAATGGTATATTGGATCGTGAATTATTATCCATTTATGAATTGACTGTAGCTGCTGTTGATGGTGGAGGAAATCGTGGTTATGCTAAATTAATTATACATGTTGCTGATGAAAATGATAATTCACCAATTTTTCAACACTGTAATCATAAAACTAATAATAATAATAATAATAATAATAATAATAATAGTTATATAAATAAAACAGAATCCATTATTGGACAATCATGTGAAATGATTGTGAATATCGATGAAGATATCCCAATTGGTAGTACATTACCAATACATCTTATAGCAAATGATATAGATGAAGGAGAATTTGGTCATGTAACTTATCGATTTGCTTTATCCGCTCCAGATGTAGCAAGAAGAGATTTTAAAATTGATCGTGAAACTGGTACAATTCTTGTTCGATCACCATTAGATTATGATACTGGTGGATTAACACAATATCTATTTAATATAGTTGCTGAAGATGGTGGTCTACCACCATTAACAGCAACAACACGTATTATTATTAATATACAAGATAAAAATGATAATTCACCACAAATTACAATTACACCAGCATTTTTACAAGAAGATAATTATAAATCATTCGTATATCAACAAAATACAACCAAATTAACAAATATGGATATGATGAAATCAACATTGTATCTCATTGAAAATAAGTTACCTGGAGCATTGATTGCAACGATTACAGTTTCTGATCAAGATTCTAATGAAAATGGTCAATTCACATGTCAATTAGATCATACAGATGAATTAAATTTAATTTATTTAAGAAATTTAGGTAAAATTAGTGTATATCAATTATGTTCATTACGTTCAATTGATCGTGAAATACAACCAGAATTACGTGTTACATTAAAATGTGAAGATAATGGTATTGATAATAAACAAAAAACAATTGAATTATTAACTATACATATATTGGATATAAATGATAATTCACCAATGTATACAAATAAACGTTATAGTTATCAAGTAAGTAATAATCACCTTATGATGTAACATTTGTTCTTATATCAGTCATCATAATATAGATATAGCTTCAACTGACTCACGATCTTAACCATTGAAATTACTATAATATCCACAAAAGTCCATCTCTGATATTGATCAACATATGCTCACTAGTGACTGGCTTCAAGAGGTATATCCTGAAGTTCTAGGGAGAAGTAGTGACCAGTGGAGTTCAACCAGGTCTATTATGAGATAGTAACTCACTGAAGACAATGGTGAATGTGTCGCCGAATTTCGTGGGTTGGTTGAAGTTAGACATTAACACCGTCGGATGCCGGCCGGCTCAGTGGTCTAATTGTTAAGCGCTCGCGCGCGAGAATGATAGGTTCGGGGTTCCAATCTCACGGGGCAGGATCGCGGATATGCACTAGTGAGGAGAAGAAACGACCGTCCAGTGTCCCAGGTTTTTCATGGTGGTCTAACTTCAAATGACTCATGATCTTGACCATTGAAATTATTATAATATAGATAATGTATTAAATATATAAGTTATGAATAGAGTAGTTTAGATCCTATCGTTGAATTTCAACCAGTTTCTATTAGCATATGTTCATTCGATAAGGATTGCCTGGATTTCAAATTTTACAGAATAAATGAATTGTAATCAGAGATGAAACTCATAACTTGTGTTTTATTTTTATTTAGATTTAGCTAATTAGGCTTGTCAACATCATAGCGTTGATTCTGACTCTGAGATTCGAATCTAGTACTTGAGCTCAGATGGCCAACAATTTGTTCAACAGGAATGATGTTCATATGATTACTAGAAACGGTTCAGATTTTTTGGCTGAACAAGTTATTGACTGTCTGGACTAGTAAGCTTGTTTATTGACTTATTGGTGTTTGAAACTATAAATACCACGTAAAAATTTTAGTGTGGACATCAAAACTATAACGTATTGGGTATATCCAGCTAATGTGTCCTAGACAGAACGAAATCTTTATCCTGGATTCGACTACAATCCATTTATTCTATAAAAAATTTGGAGAGCATCTTTTTCCATTCTTCTTCTTCTTCTTCAGAATAGTCCTTGGTTGTATACAAGACACCACTGACTCTCGACTTATTAAAATATCTACATACGTTCATAGAGAATTAAAGTTTATTAGATGAATACGTCGTAAATTGTTTGGCATTATCACAACTATTCTACTATTTTCTTCCACGATTGTTATCATTTACTTGTTTACAACCTTTATAGAGTGTCATTTTTCTCCTATTTCTCCCCATATTTTTCCTGAAGAAAACTATCCTTTATTGTACCATGAACTATTTCTATTCATTTTCATTTTAGACTAGAGTGGGACAATCAATTATTTATAGTACTAGTTACATTAAATAACACAGTAGACAATATAGGAGGATCTATAGTAACATAGATCCTTATTTGTCGAATTCATTTTCATACAGTCAGTTACCTTAATACATAGTTTATTCAATAGATACAAGAAATGAGGTCATTATTTTATAAAGTTCTACAATCCATTGATTTCATCTGTTCCTTATTACAGTTCTCTATCTTTATATGTAATTGTTTTACTACTGTTTTTATTGGAAGTGTATAGAAACAGGATTCTTCATCCCCCTCTTCATTTGATGATATTTATAAACATTAGATGTTTTCACTAGATTCATGTCCATACTCGTTATTTCCGAATTTACTTTATTAACAATGATCCGAATAGTGAATTGAAAATTTCAAGAAATCATTTCACGATTAAATCATCTGTATTGTCTTCACAAATTCTCATGGAAACTACACTATCCATTGAAAGAGCCTTCAATCATTTATGAATTTTCTCTCCATAACTAAAAGACGTTCATTGTTGAAAAAGTAATTTACATTATGAATGGAATAGCTGTATATTATCTTAGTTAGAAGCCTTTCCAATATTGTTCATACAAGATTTTGAAGTCTTACAAAAAGTGTAATGTTTTTCTTTTAATACATTTCTAACATGACCAATATTAGTAATTCATTTAACTAATTCATTCTGGATATGATTAACTCTGTAAGTAAAAGTTTTTATACTAAAATGCTATGAAATTTCTTTAAAAGCTGATCATAGGTTAACTCATATTCCTTCTTATAATCAGCATTCCTAAACTGGATGAATCCAGTCAACAACTAAGATTGATAGAGTTTCATTTTTTTAGCCAGATGATTTAGTTGTGAATCAGAATGAATGATGAAACACCTTCAAAATCATCTACACTAGCTAGAAATCTTTCTTACCATTTCGTTACCATTTAACAACTCAATGACATAATACATATCGAATGTAAAAAAACAAACATTTTAGATCGTGTTTCATGAGATAAGTAACGGATTTCAGTGACTTATATCCATTGGAATTCTAATATAACTTAATATATATATATATAGTCTGTTGGTTTACAATGTAGTTAATTAATGATCAATTCACTTTTGATATATAGATATATATGTGAAACAATTTGTTTTTCAATGAAAACAAAAGATAAGATTTAAAGAGGAAGAATGTATTTGTAAAATCTCAGTGAATGAAGTTGAAGTAAATCTAAGGTTTCGCCTTGCAATCTAGTCCAAGCTTCTTCAAAGAAGGCGAAACGTTGGACTTCAAATTTATTCACTGAAATTTTACGAATACGTTTTTCCAATTTAATGTCTTAAATCAACTCGGTGCTCACATACTGTGAAACTATTCGATCAAGTTTAGACGAAAGTTCTTATTTATTAAAAGATGAAATTATTTTATAAACACTAGATGTATCGCTCAATTTCGTGGATTGGTTGAAGTTAGACATTAGATGCCGACCGGCTCTGTGGTGAAGTGGTTAAGTGCTCGCGCGGAGATCGATAAATCCTCGGTTTGAATTTCGCGATGTGAGAGGAGTCCCACAATAGGCCGTCCAGTGCTTCCAGGTTTTCCATGGTGGTCTAGCTTCAATTGACTCATGGTCTCAACTATTGAAATTAATATTTTTATGTATATTATCTTTTTTAGTAAGGTCATGAATCAGCCTATCGTTAAAACTTACTCATGGATTTTGTTAATCTTTGTTAACGTTTGTGATTTCTGTGTGAATTGTGTCAATATGGCCATTTTATTTTCGTTTTTTATAGAATCGATGTTTTTAGGCTAGTAGCAACACATATTCCATATTATTTGAAACCCATCATTTGGATGTCGTTGCACTCTAGTATTGATATTCACAATGAAACTTTAATCTATTAATTTTGCCTTGTATTTCATTACGCTATTCACTAATAATAGGGATACAATCGATAAAGCCACTGAGTTATTCAGTGGACGTCTTAACTCAATATCTTAGTACGTAGCGCGTTCCATTTTTATGCTACAATTACTGAGTTTGCGTTTCAATTTAAACAACAACAATGAGATATAAAAGGTTTATCAAGCTGAAGAGTTCTAGACAAGAGAAAACACGCTTCCTGAATTCCACTGCTAGCTACAACATGCTAAATTTTTTACAACTCCCAGTATATCTAGAAGAGTTTTAAGACCGAAGTGATTAACAAGATCATAATTAATTAAATTTACATTGATTTAAAATTTAAAAAATCTATGGATAAATACTTAATTGAAAACGTAGTTTAAATTCAGAAGTGATATAAGAATACAATAAAACTGCATTCAATCAAAGCAAAGATAGGTAGTAGTTAGCAATAGAATCCAGGACGCGCGTTTTGTCCTATTTCGGACTCATTAGCTAGACATACCTTCATGTACTTGCTTGTAAAGCTTACGAATTAAGGCAGTCCGCACAGGATGCACATATGCGAACAAGAGACTGATCAACTGTATTCCTAAATAACAATGGGAAGATACAAGTAAAATGACACCAAGTGAATTTAAACTTCACCCCATTTCACAAGCAGGTGGCTGTCAGGATTCACTAGGTAAATGGACAATGTGATGGCGTTTGAAGTGAACGGTACTGGGTTTGAGTCCTAGAGTGAACATCAACTCTGCGATGCAGGTATATCTAACTGACGAGTCCAAAATAGGACTAAGCGTGCGTCCTGAATTCTACTGCTAGCCACTATCCTTTTGAATTAAATCAATATCGAGACCATTCGCACAGAATGCATATATGCCAACAAGAGACTGATCAATTTTAGTCCTAGACATCAATGAGAATATTCAAGTAAACAATACCAAATGCTTTCAGTATAGTTCGTATTTGGGTAAAAGTGGAATTCATGAGCTACATTTTATACCATTCACTACTCGTTAACTAAATGTATCAAATTCATTCTAGTTTTGATATTCATATTGATAGTCAAACTTAATACCTCCCACCAATCTCATAAAATAAATTCCCCTTTTTTTGTTGTCGTTGTTGATAAATATTCATTCAAAAATAAAACAGGCTGATTCATCTAAACAAAAAGATGCCGCTTTGGTTTCTCCAACTTTTCCCCCCCTTTGAAAATTTTTTTTAAACCCGTTTGCAATTTCATGAATAAATTATACTTTATGAATGTTACACAACTGGTTTTAATGAATATTTACACTGTTCTATCTTCAATAAACAAATTTCACAGTTTTTTTTTGAAAAAAAGAAGAAAAGAAAACAACAAACAAACATTCTAAAGTGTTTACTAGTCTATCTGTTTTGAGTAGGTGACTATAACCATAATATAATTAATATCAGAAGGGATTTTATGGATATTGTAGTAATTTCAATAGTTGAGATCATGAGTCAAATGAAGGTAGATCATCATGAAAAATTGGGAAGTACTGGAGAAGCAGTGATCAGTGGAGTTCAACCAGATCTGTTGTGAGATAGTAACTCACTGATGACAATGGTGGATATCTCGCTCAGTTTCATCGATTAGTTGAAGTTAGACAATAACACCGTTAAATTCTGGCCGGCTCAGTGGTATCGTGCATGAGACTGATAGGTCTTGTATTCGAATACCGAGAGACGGGATCGTGGATGTTCACTATTG